CAGAGTCCAGCGACTTAGCATCCTGCCGGGAAAACCTGCCACACGTGTTGTCAGCGTGGGCTTCCTGTCGTTTTCGGGGGTGTCAGGATCAAGGGTGCCTTGGGTCCAATGCCACCCAGCAGCAACACCCTACGAGCTCTTTTGGAAAAGCGCAATCAGCCCTGTAACATTCGGTTGGGAAGGCGCTCCTTCCGAAAGCAAAATCCCCCGTTAACAGTCCTCAAGAATATCCTTTCCCTTTCCTAAACCAATTAGAATCACCAAAGTAAGAACTGCAGCGTTCTCCAGCACGCTTCGCGCCGCAGGCTGAAGGCTACGGAAGCACAGAGCGGGCGGCTCCGGGGGACAGCTCCACTTCGGCACGCCCGGCTGCAGCTAGAAACCAGTCGCTGCCAGCACGGAGCGCGTCTGGGGTCTGGGTACCGGCTCAGGAACTTTTCCTTGGACAGAAGTTTTAACTCTGCTGGTCAAAATTTCATTAATTTCTGCGCATTCTACTCTCTGCTGTTCCCAAACCGCAACGTTCAGTGAAGGAGAGCTTGCGCTGGAAATGAAGAATTTGAGTTTTTGCTCTTGCCCCAGTAAAACCTGGATCTACTGGAGAAGGTGAGCAGAGGTATCCTGCACCAGCTGTAGAAATTGGCCTATTTAAGTGTGGCACCTAAGCGCTACAACCCCAACCGGAGTTGTGACCTGGTAACACACGTTTAGAACCTGATTTGGAATTGGGCCTTGACTCAGATTGTCTTCATCCTAAAATACAGATAGCTAATGTCAAGCTAATTAAGTTGCTTGCAAGAAGACAAACATCTGCTGTTTCACAGACTTGCAGCAGACGCAGAAAGATGAGCTGGTATCTTGGTGCAGAATCGCTCTTGTAGAATTGAAGAAAATTGCTTATACGTAACCAGAAAGTACTGCGGCGATACAGGAGCATATAAACATCTAAATACAAAATACCTTGTTCATTTAGTAGAAAAATCCAGAGAAAATGTGGTATCAGTGAAACTTCTCTTAAATGACCAATAAAAATAAGCTGCTTAAATTCAGTATCTTATCAGAATTGCTTCTAAGAGAAAATGAGCATGACTGTACCAAGTACGCTGCGGGGTAAATGCTGGGCTCGAGAGAGAGCGCGCGAGAGCTGCCTCAGCCTTTGTTCTGTTGCTTAAGCTTAGTTGTATCAGGTGTGTTTGACAGTAACTGTGGTGCGTGCTGACGAGCGTCTTCTAATCAGTCTTTCTAGTCTTCCTGTAGTGCAGGATTGTGGCTGTGACCCAAATATTGAGAATGAGCATGGCTATGAAACGGATGAGAACTAGAAAGGAAGCAAAAAAAAAATTCTTGTAAGCATAAATAAAAAAAAATAATAAATCGACTGCTATGGTTTTCAGAAGAGATGTTGTTTGGTAAACCTCCACTGGTGTGCAAACAGGCTGGCTCCCACTCTTCACTCAATTAGTTCAAGTTCAGGAACCCAGAAACTCTCCAGGAGCATTTAGCACGTATGAGTGATACCTGACGATAATACCCTACAGCACCTCTAATGCCTTTGTGACAAACCCAGGAGAATAGTATAAGTTTGAGTAGCCTCATATAAATTTGTATTTACACCTAAAATTAAACTCGGAGCTGCAGCTCAGGTGTCCTCTACAGTTGCCTGTGTGGTTTATAATAAAGGGATTATTCCCTACTGCCATCTGTTAAGTGTAGACTTCAGGGAGACAGGAAATACTTGCATCTGTCAGATTTTGATGAGAGGAAATGTGGCAACTGAGAAAAAAAGCAGTTTTTCAGTACCTTGATTAACTTTCAGAATTCCTTCAAGCCAAAAGCAGCACAGTAGCTCTACCCGTGGGACCCCAGTTTGAAGTACAGGTGTATCTAATACCCGCTTGCTAAATGGAACGGTCACAGAAATGTACACAAAACCTTGTTTCAGAAATAGGCAGTACCGGGCAGTTTCACGCACGTGTGTGAAGCCAAGATGAGCGTGCCGAAGCGCTCAGTGCTAGGAGGTAACTGGAAACATTTTCCATTAGAGCAGCACGGTATCGCTGTTTGCTGCCATCTCGTCCATGCTCCGAAGTGTACTGTGCTGTATTTTAAAAAGCAGCTTTAAACAGAGCCAGCTTTTTACTTTCCTGGTGTTTTCTTCCCTTCCTTCCTCCCCTCGACATAGCTCATGCGCTTCCAGTCAGCGCACGTGTGTAGCTGTGGGTGAACTGGGCTCGACAGCTGACCTGGACTAAATTTCCGCCTGTGTGTTATGCCAGTTTTTTGATGATCCAGTTAACTGCATGGCCCCAAAACTCTTACTCTGGCAGAGAGAAAGCAGCAAGGGTGGGGGTGCAAATGAGTGACTGAAAAGGGGACTTCCTCTTCCACTGGAAGAGCCACTTGAACTGCTTGTAAAACCAGAGCCCTATTGTGCTGCAGAGGACTGCTTAAAAAAAAATAAATCCAGTTTCGAACTAGAAACAGGATCTGCCCAATAAAGTACAATGCCATTTTGTTACTGTTCTTACATCCACCGAGTCTTGATTTCGAACCATTCAGTGAAAAATCTGCTGCATGCCTTGGCTCTTTCAGTTCTGTCACGATGGTAAGAAGCTGTTGAGTAAATTTGCTTTATAATGAAATCAGCTGCAAATTAACACATTTTAAGCCATTTTTTGGTGAGTTTCTTAGCAGCCTACCATTCCATTTTCAGCCTGCCGTAAACTTTCTGAAGGTTGTACCAAAAACTATTCACGTACTAAGCTGAATTTTAAGTTGTTTTCTGGAAGAATTTGTTAACGCCCAAGCCCCACAGTAAGAAAAGGTAACACTTGTTATTTGAAAGGCTATCACTCAATGATTACAGATTTATTCTCAATTACTACAGGTTTATGAAGTTGTGCTTTACAAAACGAATGTACGTATTTAAATATTAATGATTTTTAATGTTTTATTCTGCTATTTTCACAATTAAGTTAATTTTGTAGTGCTTTTGCCTTTTGAAAAAAATAATGGCTTTTGGACCACTTGCCACCGTGTGATAAGCATAAGCAGGGTTTCTTGTTTTCTCCAGGCATTTGACTGGTTTGTAATCCTGCGCCACCTTTTTAGCAGTGACTCCTTCCCTCACCATGCTAAACCACCGGGCTCAGGGCTTGTTCCTCCGAGCCCAGGTATCTGCTTTTACAAAACAGTGCAAAACGACCCTGGCAGCTGTTAGCTTGGAAAGGCGGGCGATTCCATGCTTTACTCACCTGCGAGATCGTTCGTAGTCATCACAGTTGTAAATATTCTTGCTGTAAATGGAATGAATTCTGATTAGTGGACTAGATATGGCATGCTTATACCTTCAAAAAATGATGAAGCATGTATTTTTCCATAGTGGATAGTCTTGCATGAAAATATGCATTGTATAGACACTCCCACTTCTAGTGCACCCCCTCTTCTCTATTTTAGCTTCAGAAATCAAGCTCTCAAAGCTGCGTGACACCACATTAAGGGTCTTTTTTAATGAGAAAATCGCTGATATAATTAGAATTTTTCTATCTGTTTCTGTCTATCTCACTAGGTTGGATGTGGTCAGACTTCACTGCTTTTCTTTCAGGTCAGCCCCCTGCTTCAGGAGTTGATGCTGAGCTACACCCACCATCGAGTTAGCGTGACTTAACCTCTGTAAATGTTCACATGTGTGCTTTTAGGCTTCTGCAAATACGAGGAATTCGGCTTTCCTTCCCACAACAAGTCTAAACATTAATTACTTCACATTTGCAGCAGACTAAAACCATTTCCAAAGTTTATTGCCATTGTTCAGCAAACGTACCACAGCTTCTCATTACTGACTTCAAAACATTTGTTTCACAGGGAAATAGATCCAGCATCAACTACGTTTTAAAGTATTTTAAACAAGTTTTGTGAACATGACAAAGGCCCTTCTGACAAATAGCCATAGAAGAACCATTCATGCAGACCACTAAGTCATTAACGCATGAATTGCAGAAATCACTGTCCTTGGTACGTTCTTAAATTTTCCTCTGTCAAGAAACATATTTACATGTAGTCACAGAGTTGAAGGTATTTAGCATTAAGCATCTATTTATTTGTAGGTGAGTTTTCAGAGTTAGCTTTGTCTGACTGTCTAACCATAAAATTCAGCACATTTTCAGGCTGGATCGCTAGTAATTTTATT